AAATCTAATCAATAATGATAGACATGATATTTTACTTTATAAGACATCAAGTGAATAAAATAACCGTCTAGATATTTTAGAAGTAAATATAAGTTAAATATTTCTTTATAAAGCCTCTAAAGATGGAATCATTTGAGCACCTACCAAAATTATTGAAAGTTTTAAGAAAAAAATTAAATTAAGGGAGGATGTTAGAATTATAATTTAGTTTTAATTAAGGATTTGATTAAGATTTCTTATTTCATTAGGGTTATGACATTATGATTTAGATCTATATATCAATATATTGGATTGATGGTGTAGTATTCGTATCACCCTAAACCAAACATATGAGAGTTAGAGAGAGAGGGCAGTAGAGAAGGTACGAAGCACGGACTCGCTGATACATAATTTGTAAATAAATTAGAATATGCACAAGACGATGACACATGTAATTTTTAATATATATGTATATGTATATATATATATATATATATATATCATATTTGACTAACATGAGTCTTATAGTATTTATTGACTCGGAAATGTGAATAAAAGAATAGTATAAATAAAAAAATTTAAATTTAAATATTCGAGATAAAAATTGAGTGCATCAAATAATACTTAATAATATTCAGATATAATTGATATATGTTTTCTCATGAAGATCTTCATTCATAATTTTTCTTTTTTTACAAAGCATATGATTATCGCATGATGATCATACGAGCAAAAGGTCACCAACGAGTGTCCGACATGTGTCGAACACGAAGACGTCCATCATCCATGCTTCTTAGCTTGGTAGAACTAAATTTCTTACCACATCTCAAAAGGACCACGAGATGCCCCAAAGTAACTGGCTTTCTCCATCCTTGTCCATAGCAGCTGCTTGATGGACAAGAAGGGATTCTTGGACTGACCAATTACCATAAACACCTCCCAAGATGACGCTCGCCTATCAAAATCAGTCCTTTGGAACCCGAGACTCGGAAATGGTATCTCGGACGATACTTCCAAACTCCTTTATAGATTGTGGGTGAACTATAAATACGAGATGTTGATGTGATGTGACAATACAAGTCGATATGGGTAGTTGGTTCATCAACCGGAGGAACATACTTACATGTCTGTCTATCGTAAGTCGATGGATCCAGTCGGATAACACCCTTTACCTGTCGACTTCGCATGAACTGGGATGGTCACTTGCAAGCCCCTCCTCATCTGCTTGATAAAACAGGTTCGAAGAAACCTAATCTGGTGCAGGAGTTCCAATTTGCGTAACTGAGCTTTGGAAAAAGAGTAGGGTTTCCGGTGGTCCACGTAAATAGCTTTACTCTTCTCATCTTTCCTCGACAGAGGAGGCCTTTGTTCCAAGAATACTTCCATTGGCCATTTAAAATGACGACTGCGACAGCTCTACCGACGGTCCCTGATGTTTGCCTTTTCTTTCTTTTTCTTTTTTATATAGGTTCCCATGGCTATTGGTCAAAAGCTGCATCAGATCAACTTAATTTTCCATGTCCCCCATCCATAGCCGACGTACTACAACATATTATATCCACGACTCTGTAGCCACATCTATCCATAAATAAAGAACTACGCTTCCATATTTCTTTTTGTTTCCTTCTCTCCGACTCGTCGATCTTACACCCATGACATGCAACAAGCATTTTACAGTGGGATCTTGCGATAGCCCATTAAAGAAAGCTCCCTTCTCCTACACCTACTTGCGATCTTTCGATGCTATCGTGTCCCTTTGGATCCGATACTCGCTAAAAGTACATCTGTCATGATAAAACCGAAGGTTCAAGAAGCAGAAGCACCCCAGTCGAAAGATTTCATCAGGGCCGGTTGCCAAGACGATGCACGAACGAGAGGCAGGCGACAGAGAGGGGTGGCAAAAGCTGGCGCGGGAAGGCATGCATGATGGCTACCCCCCTCCCTCATCGTTCGATGCAACCGCATGCTTTCGATCGTGAGTTGGCTCACACAGCATGCATGGGAATTGTGAGAAATCATCATCGTCGTCGCAAATGGTGACGTGTGTTCATAGGAAATCGTGAGAAATCAAGGTAGCATCCGATGTTCAAAGAATGATGACGTGGTCGTGGTCATACGGCGTCCATCATGCAGACACGTCGGACGCCAGTAGTGCGTGGACTTAGTGCGGCACAGCTTTTGTCGGCGAGAGATGATGATCGATTGTAGTAGACGTGGACCACGCGAATTCACTATACCGTCCGGTAAGAATTGTGGTTCCATATTCATTATGTTTACGGTGTATTCTAATTTTGAGTATGTACCCAACAAAAATATGATTGATAGATATTATTTGGATACAAAGATGAAAGAATCATCTCAACTGTTAGATGTTGCAATTAATACCATTACATCATTTATATCGATCATGCGAATTACTTGACTAACGTGTCAAACAAACAATATCTCTATAAAGGAATTAGATTGGTGTGGAGTGCTGGCGGTCCATTGACACCGTCTACCGGATGTTGACTCACTGCATCGGAGTCTCTTACTTTGGCGACGAACAATGAAAAGGAATCGAAACAGACATCCTTAGAATTCAAGCAAAACAATGCAGACGTCCGAAAAGGAAGTGCACATCTTCCAAAACATGGCGGAGAGGGTGAGGTGGGTGGCTGTACGACATCACACCCTCCATCTCGTGCCGAACCTTCTTCTGCTTGCCTTGCGAGTCACTCACCCATCCTCAGCTTGCATCACCCAACTCTATGCGATCTGTACATCTTGCTCTGAATCTACAGTCACTTATCACTGTCCTTACTAGGAAGACGCTTAATCACGCATCACATGTTGCTGGTTTAGAATATGCTCTTTGGTCTCCTCATCCCATTAGCCGAACAATTATTTTAAGTTTAGTCCCAAAAAAAAAACATCATCTTTGGTTACCGAAGCAAACCTGCTCACAAACTTCATGTAAGACGCATATAGATCCATCCTCCCAACTCCGTTTGCATATGATCGGTGTATCTTCCACACATCTCATCGAACATAATTGGGGTTTGGGCCACAGCAAAGGACAACCACTGCATCCACGTAAACTCGTTTATCGACTATTTTGGCCTTTCCCTTCGTCGCAACTCCGGTGATGACCGGTTTACACACATTGCATCTCTGTCACATTTGCCCATCAGGAGTTGGAGTACAGTGAGATGGTGACTTGGTTTCTCTTTTCTGTACTGGCCCCCTTCAGGGAATTGCCTCCCCACCTACCACTTCGCATTCTGGCCAGCCAGCCAGCCAGTCAACCTACCACTCTGCATCTCCTTTCTGTATCATCCATCCACTGTCTTGCTTGCCCAGATCTCTACCGCTTGATCGTCAACTCAGTTCTACCATATTTGGCTTGGAAGCTTACAAGGCTACCTCACATTAGCATCACGATCAACCTGACTCCATTAGCACGATTAGGAAGCTGAAATCAAAAGAACTTGTTATTACTAATGCAAATAATTGGTCTGCTGGCACAACCTGGTATTACCTTCCCCATAATACACTTGCAGATGCCTCGATTATTTTGTCATCTACGGACAACGGAGCTACAACCGGCGTATGGCTGTCGTGGACCCATCTCCCCCACCTATCACCGGCACGCGTCGGGCGTATAGCTGAATGACTGACGGCAGCGAACCGGGACCTCTCGGTGATCTCCACGCACCGACACCCCGTCTCCCGGTCACCCAAATCACCCCTCAGATATTATTCTCACCCGTCAGTCATTTACCCTATTCTACCACTTGCGTTCCTTAGGGTGCGTCGGTAGTGTGAGCGGTGGGACCCTTCCCATCGCAGGGACAGCAAAGTGTTCCTCGATCACGAAGCACACGACTCCCACGGTGCCACTCACCGAACGTGAGGATTCACAGGAATCGTACGGCGTCCACGTGGCGTGGGACCTTGAGAGCCTCCCTGTGGCATCGGTAATCACACGGCGCGGTGAATTCAACTCCTTCACTTTAAAGCAGCTCCCTCCGCTCTTTCTCACCCTGTGACCGTCAGCCGTAAACCACACACTGAGTGGGACGGTGGGGAGGGGTTAGAGGGAACGCGTTCTTGCTCGGATCTCAAACCGGCGATTAAATCGAGTTAAAGAACCCCGGTGGATTCCGGCATTTGTGCGAGTTCTAATGGGCGGGAGTATGCCGGTGCTTTGCTTTCTTGTTCTTGGGAGTTAAAGATCAAGAAGAGGAGACGCCATTCGAGGCGAAGGGGCGAAGCTTTTTGGTGAGGATTTCGAGTCTCACTCCCTGCGATCCCTTTTCCCTTCTTCTTCTTCTTCTCTCCTTCTTGTTCGGTTTCCTGTCGTTTACCTTTTGTGTCGGTGTCCTTTTTTCTCACTCCTTGGAGGAATCCGACGAATATCATACCTTTGGTTTTGTTTGCTTCTTCTTGGTACCGCGAGTTGTACCGGATCTTGTTTGATGCGCGATCTGGAATGGCCGGCGTTGGATCTTCTGAGGAGCATTTCTTTAGTCCGTTCGTGATCTTGTCGAGATCCGTACGATCTCGTTTGAGTCGGTTCTGGAATGGTTGGCATCGAAGTTATGATTGATGTTTCTTGCTGATAGAATTCACGGTAGAGAACCCTGGAGCATTCTTGCTTTTGGTTCGATGGTTTGAGTAGCTGTTCAATCTTCGGCGGATCCTTGATTTCCTAAAGTCCGCTCCTGGTTTTGGGCGATCTGTTCGATCTTGCTTGAGCTGGTACTGGAAAGATTAGCATCGGAGTTAAGGCTGATGTTTCTTACCGATTCCGTTCATGTTAAAGAAACTTGGAACATTCTTGCTTTTGGTTTTATGGATTGAATTTTTGTTTAGTTTTTGGAGCATTCTTGGTTTTCTAGCCTATCACTCTTTGTTTGGAGCCGTAATATATGTTCAGCCATTAGGATCTCGTGATTCGGCGGCACTTCTAGATCCAATGTGTTCCAGGGACTTGGAATTTGGCGACCACACCAGCGAGGGCTAATTATAAATTAGCTCATGTAATTAGTTATCTTTTATCCGTTTCTCCCTGGAGTAAGATTAAGATGCTGTGAGAAAAAACGATGTTAAACAGTTTACTTTAATAATTATAAGGATTTCAACCTAACTTTTCAAAGTATAGGATCAAAATACTAAAAATAATTAATTACAGGGGATAATATATAATTAGCCCACGTTTGGAATTTTTGTTATACTAAATAGTCTGTTGTACTGTTCGTCATTGATTGTCCATTGGTGACTGTCCGATATCTTGACTCTTGTTCTTTGGTGTTGAAATGCACGCACAAGATTGTGAAGCCATCATTTTGTGTTACTTTGTTTAAGATAATTCTCTGCCATATAAAAATACACATGACAACCTGCTGTTCTTTATGCCTTTATTATCATAGAAGGCTGGAGTATGGAAATATGTGTTTAAAGTTGGAAGTTGCCAAAGAAAACATATGACAGATTTGATGATAGATGTATAGAATAACTTGGATTTTGCTACCGAGACTGGATAGAGAAAACTATTGTTTGTGAGCCTTTATTTATCCTGTTGTTGATTATCAATATTAGCCATATGGCTGGCTTTGATATTTTGAAGATAACCATTTCTTTTTCTTGGGCTCATGGCATGTACAGGTTTTTAGAAATGTTGACCCATATTGTCCTATTGCAACTTGTTCGTGGCCAAAATTTTAAATTTAATATTGCTTAATTTTCCAAGTTAACTTATGTCTACTGCTAAATTTTTTATCACTATGCTACCTGCAAGGTCATCTGCGGATCTTGTCCATCATATACTTATGATTATAGCATTTGTTCGTTTTAAGTAACTCTTAAAGTCATATTTGTTGAATCAATTAGAATTTTGCCTTCAGTGAATTGCTGAAGAAAATTTTCCATTTTGCAGTTTTATATATTTGCAGATTTTTTATTAATATTATCAGTCAAGAAATAATATCAGGTATGATTACTATCTTTGAGATTAATAGATAGAGATTTTCATACATCTAATTGCCCTAATTTTTTGGACTGTGTCAGGAATATACATTTGTGAGGCTTGTGAAGAAAAAAGGTTAAAAAATTTCTAGAATTCAGTAGTTTGACTACTGCACAGTGTCCACTTCAAAAAAGGACTTTTGCACGGAAAGAATCATATCAGATTCAATACAAGGGTCTCCAGATTGTTCAAGTAAGTGCATTGAATGCAGTTTATGTGCTTCTAAACTTTACACGAAAGAAGACACTTTTAGATAATTTTAAAGATGGTGTACAGGTTTGAAGAGTTGCTATTAATTTGTAATCATAAAATGGGTGCCAAAGAAAATGGGGAGGAAAGAGATGATCGTTTGAGTGATTTGGAAAAAGATGTAAAACATGGCAAGGAAGGTGAATCAGATTATGAGCCTGCGAGGGATTCACTTTCATCTCAAGGAGAGGCACCAACTAATGATGAGAACAAGGTAAAAAGAGCTTCAAGGGTTCCAAAGAAGCTCACAAAAAAGGAACCAGCTGAAAACCGTCCCCGCACGTCACGAGGAGGTGCTAATCATCAAGAACATGGCAGACTGCAATTTAAAACATTGAATACTAGTCAAAAGAAATCTCAAAAACCTAGCAGAGCTGCAGTGTCACCTAAAATCCCTAGCAATAAGAAGTTAGAGAACACAAATGTTTCTTCCAAACCTTCATCAGAGGTATCCGAAGAAATGGATGATAAAACAATTGAAGAGGTCAAGGAGATTGATGTGCTGGATGAAGCTCCCATCTGTGATCAGAGTAATGGGACAGATGATGAGACGGTTGACACAGAAGAGAATGTCCTTGATGATGACCGGGCAAGTGCATATCAGAAGATGGAGGAGATGGAATCAAGAATCGAAAAACTTGAGGAGGAGCTCAGAGAAGTTGCTGCGCTTGAGATTTCTCTCTATTCTGTCATACCAGAGCATGGAAGTTCAGCACATAAAGTTCACACACCTGCTCGGCGCCTTTCAAGACTGTATATTCATGCTTGCAAATATTGGACTCAGGATAAGAAAGCCACAGTTGCTAGAAACACTGTATCAGGGCTTGTACTGATCGCAAAATCATGTGGAAATGATGTTTCAAGGTAATGAACTTAGTATATCAAAGAGTTAAGCATGTCTATATATTTGTGGATTAACTAACGATTTCCTTTTGTACAAGGTTAACATTCTGGTTGTCAAACACGGTTGTCCTCAGAGAGATTATTTGTCAAACATTTGGCAACTTGTCCAATTCTAATGCAACTTTGAGGACAGTGGAGTCAAATGGTGGTGCAAGGAAAACTGATGAGAAACAATCACCACTGAAACGGAAAATCAATTCCGGGATCAAACAAGGGAAAAATTTTGGTTTTATGCAGCTGATAGATGACTGGCAGGATACAAGCACATTTACATCTGCATTGGAAAAGATAGAATCTTGGATCTTCTCCCGGATTGTTGAATCAGTATGGTGGCAGGTAAATATTGTTTCTTATTTGAGCCATCGTAGAGTGTCCTTGACATCATGAATATTAAACTTGGATAGCACTTTCTCAATGTCAAGTTTAGTGAATTTTGAGCACTCATGCAAGCTGTCTAGCAAGCTCATAATATTTTTCGCCAGCGTAGTCCAATGTAGGTTCAACATCAATCTTGTCAGTCTAGGTGGATGGATGATATATAATTTTTTTCATAAATCATCCCAAGTTGGTATAAAGATGGTTCTTATGTAGTTCCAAATCAACTTGTCCAGGATTTCATTAGATTCAGGCCAATTGAAATGGTACTGAACATTTGTTTTGCTGATTTTGCCTTGTACTCAATACGTGGTTTGCAATGGATAATACATCTTTCTAGAACATGCAACTGAAATAATGGTGACCATGAAAGAACATGTTATATTAGTTATCCTCTTTCTTTATATTGACAATCAGTGAGATAAATATGTTTATAAATACAGAAACCAATGACGTAGTTTGAATCTTTCTAGTGACATCTCTTAAATGATGATTTTATATTGAGTTGCATCATCATTTATCTATGACCTCAGCTGTCTAGCAATCTGTGAAGTGTAATACCTGTCATTCCATTTGATTGAATTTTGAAGAAATTCACATAATTGTTCTTATAACATCTTACGATGTTCAGTTTGAAATTACAATATTGATTAAATTGGTCTAGATCAGCTAACTTTAGTGTTTTTAAAGTATTTATCGTTTTATTGGTTGTAAGCCCAGCTGACTGGTTATCTGTAGTAGCAATAGGAGATGACAGAGTGCTACTTTAATAGCCATCCTGTAGCAGGGTTAACTGAACAAAGATTGTTCAGGTTGAATTTCGTTGGTGATTTTGATCTAACCCTTGATGATGCAATAGCATATGTCGGGTTAAACCTCTTGCTACTGGATTGAGGCTTTCTATCGTATAACAAGAAAATAGCCTAAGAATGGGTCATAGGTTTTTTCTAGTTCTGTTAAAAAAAGTGATGTCCGCCCGCAGCTTGAGATTGTTTAATATCTTTACCTTTTTGATCTTGTTCTATATTGTGTTTCAGACACTGACTCCATGCATGCAATCACCTCTGGAGGACATATACACTCCAAAAAGCTTTGGGAAGTTGTTAGGACCAGCATTGGGTGATCAGCAGCAAGGAAGTTTTTCTATAAACTTGTGGAAAAGTGCTTTCCATGATGCCTTCAGTAGGCTCTGTCCTGTTCGTTCTGGAGGGCATGAGTGTGGCTGCTTGCCTGTATTGGCAAAAAAGGTATCATCATCCACTCCTGGAAGAATTTTTTTGTCTCTCCCTTTAATTTCAGTGGAGTGTTCTCATTCTTGTTCTTGTTGTGTGACTTTATTTCTTTCTCTTCTGTACATCTCTGTCAATATGTTCTTTTTCTTGTTGCAATGATATGAAACTATCTTCTGCCAAAAGCATTGGAATGTTAATCACTAATCTGCATATGAATAGGTGATGGAGCAGTGTGTATCCAGATTAGATGTTGCCATGTTCAATGCAATTCTGCGAGAATCAGCTCATGAAATTCCAACTGATCCTGTATCTGATCCAATTGTTGATCCAAAAGTTCTGCCAATTCCTGCTGGGGATTTAAGCTTTGGATCTGGTGCACAACTGAAAAATTCCGTACGTAGCTCTACAGCTTCATTTTATCATAAAATTTTGAAAAGCTATTGTTTTGTTTTAGGTGATACTAAAACTGATACAATGAGAAGAAAAAAAACTGATCAAATCATTCTTCGTAGTTCTTAAATCAAAGTTTACTTTTACCTAATAAACAGTCACAAATCTAACCAGATCTAGAGCCATAACTCCACAGAAATAAAACCAGGATTGCCTATCTGGACAAGCTCCAGAGAGCAGATTGAGGGACATTACTCTTTCCCTGTGTAAGCTATCGTTTTATTGGCATAATCTCTGATGTATATCTTTTTGACTTTCCTGTGTCATTCATCACTGCAACTGTGCTTCTGCCATTTATTTGCTTGAAAATTATGTTGTTTTGGGCCAGACCAGCAAAAAAATTATATTATTGAAAAAATTTCAAGCTAGCTTATTACGTGGTTACTCATTTTTCGTAACTAAAGTACATGACTAATTCAGGAGATGGTAGTGTTTTCATTTCTTTCTTTTAATACTGTAATTTGTACCATGTGGTCCGAAACTTTGGTTTATACATATCTGCAGATAGGAAACTGGTCTAGATGGTTGACAGATCTATTTGGTATGGATGCTGAGGATTCAGCAAAAGATGACCAGGATGGTGATGCTGATGATAGAAAGGAAGAAATTGCAGAATCAAAATCTTTTCATCTACTTAATCAGTTGAGTGACCTTTTGATGCTCCCAAAGGACATGCTACTGGCCAGGGCCGTTAGAAAAGAGGTTAGCCTCTTGGAACATAACATAGGCTTCCTTTCTTCAAATTGTCATTTTCTCATATCTCACAGTCTTTGCTCTGACTTCATGTAACTGGTCTTCAAACAATCCAGGTCTGCCCATCTATTGGTCTGCCTTTGATAATTCGGATTCTCTGCAACTTTACACCTGACGAGTTCTGCCCAGATCCTGTTCCAGGAATTGTGCTGGAGGAACTAAACACTGAGGTATGTGGTGTCTGGATCTTTTTCTCTCTGTGTCGAATTTGTGTGTTTGTCATAAAGCAGGTGAGGATGGTTGAACTTCTTTTTCTAAATGTTGCAAAAAAAAAAAAAAAAAATCACCTTCCCATTAATCATTGCACGAGGGAAAATCCTTGTTACCCCAAGTTATGCAAAGTTGGCTTTTCATTCATCCTACCTAAAAGTTTTAAATATTAATATGCTAGTTCATTTGTCAAAAGTCTGAAAATTCTAACTATAGCCATATTATTGTACCTGTGGTACAATGCAAATTCCCCACATTATTTTTAACGAAGTAAAATAACGAGTTGCCTGAAAATTTTACTGCTTTTGCTGATAATATATGCATTCTTTGCTTTTATCACTTGGACCAAACAAGTTGCCAAAAATTTTACTCTTTTTTAAGTTGCCAGTAGCAATTGCTCTTTCTTCCCCTCCTCAAGCAATCCATTTTCACAAAAAAAAAAAAACAAAACAAAACAAAAAAAAGGCCAGGAGTATTGGAACACCAAATTTGCAATAGAGGTGCAATTAGTAAATTGAACTTGAGAAAATAGAGGTGCACAAAGCGTGCACTGCCTCTATAGAATAACCACAGAAGCACTGGGGGTTGAAAATAAATTCGTAAATAAATTTTGTTGTCCGAGTGCGAATGACTTGTGGTTGGGTACATGCATGTGCAGAGCATTTTGGAACGGAGACTGTCGGACAAGGAGCTCATTGGAGGCTTCCCCTCTGCAGCTGCTCCCGTATTATACTCGCCTCCTTTGCCAGCGGAGGTGGCAGAGAAGGTTGCTGATATAGGCCGCCAAGCGGAGTTGGACCGAAGAGCATCCATGGTCCAGAGGAAGGGATATACGAGCGACCAGGATTTGGATGAATTAGATGCACCCCTGGCTTCTATTGTGGACAGAACACCACCGGTTTCCCCATCTCCAACCTCAATCCCTCACCAGCAAAGCTCGCCAGCTAATTCAAGGTACAAACTCCTACGACAAGTGTGGTGCGTGTAAATATTCCCTCCACCGCCCAATCTGTCCTACAAGTGTCCACAGCGTAGCGTAACATCAGACTTGTCCAAATTTCATGGAAGACCATAACGTTGGTTGATTGTTGATGTGATGTCGTCGGCGACAAAAGTGTTAAAAGTAATGGATTTTCGTCTGATGGGTTATCTTCTGAGTCCGCTTCTACTGTATTTCATTTGTTAGGAAATGACGCATCAATATCGTACGATTACGTTTTTTTTGCTTTTGATTTGTGTTTTGCCTCATTCTTTTGATACCTTCTTCCCGTATGATATATTAGGAACAACACTCAAAACTGTTGACATTTTGATGTTTTTTTCTATAATATATTAGGAACAACACTCAAAAAGTGTAATGGTAATATACTTAAACTAATACTAAATTTATATGTTTTAATCGATTTGTTTGCTTCAATTTAGATGGTAATATCACCTTATGAGCTCCACTGTAATACTGCAAAAAAAAAAAGAGAATCAAACATGTAGGGAGCCACAACGAGGTCAGCACTTCTACTTTAGCAGTCTTCACCCATAATTTCAACCCACCAGAGGGGTTGGACTAGTAATCCTAAGCCCAAACATGCTTGCAGCCACTATGACGAAACACGGACGTCACTGGACACATGCATATCACTCCAACCCATAACTTGAGACTGTATATGCAATTAAAGGTGATTAGCGAAAGAAACTTCAACTTATGACATGAGAGAATGACAAGCATACATGATTTTCATTGATGTTTTGGGCAGGCGTATTCACAACTTTGTATGTCTCATTTCATCTCATATGGATGATAGAACCTTATTCCACCAGTTGTTCAAAATATGAGGTATTGTCTTAGAAGCTTCATCACTAGTATATATAATGAGAAGAGGTAACCTATGAGAATTGAGTTCAACTAGTGCTTTCTTAAATGCAATATGACCACTGTAGCGTGGCACAATGAGCTTAATGTCAGTAGCAAGTTGTTTTACGACAGTGATGTTAATTTTATATAAACTTGGGTTTGCCTGAACCTACTAATAAATAACTTGACAGAATATTACTGATTATATAATAAATAATGCAAATAATATAGATCGGACTAAACGAATTAGTCAATAAGATTTTAACGATAAACCAAAAATATCTCAAGTTACTTGTGAGAAGAAAGATAAAGCCTACAACTCAAGGTTATTTATACACTAGTTCTTCCATGTATCATTTTAAGGTTTATCAAAATTTGTTTGAACCTGAAAGATGGATGATATTTGGTTGATGTGCATATCAAACAGAGGATAACTTACTAAGAAAATATACAACTTGAGTGAAATAGAAAATAGATCACGGCCTAATATGCACAGAAGGAACAATTGTATATGGAAATAATAAACAAAAGAGAGAGAGAGAGGGAGAGAGAGAGAGAGAGAGAGAGAGGATTTGTCATCTCGGATAATGAAATCATTAAGGTCTCCAAGAGTCCATTAAATATGGATAACACGAATGTCTATACATTTGATTCTCGCGAGTGACATCCCACCTATCTTTCGAGACCTATTGCTAGCTCTATATCGGTATCAGTTTTGATATATTTATTGCATGCTAAATTTGGAATTAGAGAGCATCTACGGAAATGCACCATGAGTCGAAAATAGGTTAGAAGTTTAATATTTACTTTTGTATACTTTTGAATACATGGTTAAGGTCGTGACATGAGTATTAAATTTTTTTTGAAACGAGACCAACATTATTAGGCTAGCCTGGAATAATTTATTTTTATGTACTTTTGAAATACATGGTTAACGTCATGACATCTGGAAAAATTCTTCTGTATATATATATATATATATAGTCATCATTGTAGATAAATGATGAAAATAAATACATGTAAAACGTATGATTCCGCAACTTTTATTATCAAATATTATACTCGCCTGTGTCTGACTCGGATATCTTTATGGTTGATACAAGCTTTTAGGGCACTACTTCTTTTACAAAGTCGGATCGACCCAACCCCAAAAGATTAGCAGTCTCTCTTCTATCTTATTTCATATACGACTAGGAAGGAAGCCATCAATGTAGCATTTGTGCCCACCAAACCAAAGAGATATTGTAAGCAGTTAATCCCTTTTGATCTCTCTTCTATCCTATTTCATAAATTAGGTAATCCATGTTTCATTTATTTAGGATCTGATGCCAAAAGTACAGGTGAGGAATGTCATTTACTTGAGATTTCTATCCAAGTAATTGCAAATCTTGAACAAAGTACACTACTTACCATGCTATTCTGCTAACAGGAAAGTTTAAGAACACGGCAGCACTCTCTCTAATCTAAAATAAAAGGATCCAAGAAAACCGTGTTCATGTTGTAAGAAGAAGAGGACAATGCGATGATGGTAAGTCGAAATGCATCTTCCTGCCTTACTGGAATCAAAATTAGCAGAAACCAAAACGATTCGGTAATACGAATGACACCACTTCGGATCATAGCCCCTAAGAAGACGCGAATCCCTATATCAAAGAAATTAAAAAAAAAAAGGGAAAGGAAAAATCAAGCAAGAAGTGGATCGAGATCAATAACTGAACCAACCCTACACCGATTCGTTGCTCATAGCGGGAAAAAAGAAATCGTATGGCGAGAAATTTCAAGAAACGGGGAAAATGGACAGACTAATAATCTTCCGCAGTTCGATGGTGTTTCCTGGAAAAAGAAATGTTATGACGATAAAATAAAACTCGAAAAACAAGGAAACGAACAGACTCATACCAGCGAAGCCTCTCGTGGAGCTTTCACCACCTGCTCCTTCGCTTGCGTTGCCCACCATCTTTACCGAGACCATCTGCGTCCGCTAAAGAATAAAAGAAGGAACAGCTTGGAGTCTCATATATAGGTATCATCACCGGAACGCCACCGCCTTGGGTAGGCCTCACGTGACACACTCGTGATGTCTTTGGTTCATTCAGGACTCGACGACCGCAATGAGCGTAGTTTTTGGAGATGTACACAACGAGTCACCTGGCCTGCTATTGATCAAAATGACGAAGCCTCTGGGAGCCACATGCGGGACCATAAGGACTGAGACCAGTACGCAACGTACGGGCTGGAATTATTTAATGGGCGGGCTACGTTTTTGGTTTTGGGAATTATTGAAGACGCAGGCACAGCTTGACCGGCTTGCTATTGGCTGAATGCCGGGACCACAAGGAGTGAGATTGGTTCACCCGTAGCGAGATGGTTGCCATTTTTTGGTCTCGTTCTTATTATCTATTAATTCACATGGAAGTATGTTGCGGGAAACAACTTTGAGCCGGGGCCGACGCGGCTCGGTTCGGGTCCGGACGACGGGGATCTCCCTGGGGCGTTCCTCGAGCCCGCTGAGGCGATCGGGTGCGGTGTCCGATCGGGACGGTGTAGCCGTCTCCTCCGGGCAGAAACTCCTCACCTGCGCGTCCGATCGGGACCTTCGGCTTCGCACCTGCACAAAGGTTGGGCCGAGGCGCTCGGTCCGACCCCTCCAACGATCAAGTTAGCAGATGTGGAGGGGGTTTCAGATGAAGAAGTGTTTTTGTGTGTCTGTCTCCTCCTTTTCTCTCTAATGAACGAGAGAGTATTTATAGGGAAGCATACTGTTTCCTGAGCTGCCCGCTTGCAGGGGGCAGGCTGGTAGCGTATGACTTTGTGTTGACGTGGCGTGAAGAATTGAGCTTTGACAGAATGTTAATGCGTCTCGGTCGACGTTTCGATCTGTATTGATCAGGTACTGTTGCGTGAGGCGTTATCTGACGTCAGTCGAGTCTTATCATAATTACTATCCTAGTCGAAGTACAAATTGTCACGAGCGTTCACCGTGATCGGGTCAATCATTCGCAGGTCAACACGAAGACGAAGCCCGGAGGCAGTCGAGTCCCTTTGAACGACCGGGGAAGGCATTCGGCACGTGCACCGACGCAAACCAGGCAGTGGGTTTGGGATTTGCTTCGCTCTCCTTGTGAAACCGGGGACCGCCGTTGGTGGAAGATGGCTTTACCTCACATCGCAGGACCGTCTTATTTTTCTCCTCGTATCGGTTACGCCATACCGAAATATGAACCCTTAAATTGGCCTGTGTATCGGCCATTTTTTCTTTTACTTTTTTACATGATTGAAGAAACAAAGCTGGGAAAGAAAAACAAATCACAACCGAATCACATGGAAGAGAGGAAGGGGAAATTTCCAGATTCTTGATGACACACAGCAGAAAGCATGACTCAGTTTGCTGCTTTCCCTTCCGCCGTTTTAGAACTTGATGTTCCGAGATCGGAAAGCAAGACACACACGCGTCTCCCCGGTTCTTCGCTTCACACCCTGACGATCTTGGCCGCTCGGACGACGGGATTCGCGCGAGCGATGGCGGCCCGGGCGGCGGCCTTGTAGTCGTAGCTGCAGTCGTGGCGATCGGAGTAGCGGTGCTCGCCGCAGAACAGATCGCCGCAGCGGCACCGGAACCCCGTGAGCCCCACACGCTTCCGGCAGGAGAAGCACCGGCTCACCTGTCGCGCCGGCGCCGGGGCAGACACAGCCGCCGCGGGGGCCTCGGAGGTCCTCGCGTCCCGCTCCTCTGCCGCTCGTTCCGGCGATCGGATCGGGAGAGCGGATCTTGGAGAGCAGGAGTGGGGAGCGGGGGAGGCAGCGATGGTGGAAGCTTGGAAGCAGGACTGGCACATGTTGTTGGTGGCGGGGTTGCCGGGGAAGCCGCAGTTGTTGACGCAGAGGGTGAGGGTCTCGGGGGCGTGGAGCTTCGCCTCCTCCTTCTCACGCTGAGCCATCGATTCCTACCCTTTTCACCTTCTCGTTCTAAGATTTGGTATCCGGATCTGTGAATCGTGAGGGCGTGAACAATTACAACTCTGAGCGTTTGAGATGGCTGGGGGTTTATGAAGAGGGAGAAGGGTCGGCAGTGACGCAAGAGAGGGAGGGAAATGGGTGGAGTGGCGTGGGAACGCGTCGAGATCGTGTTCTCGAAAGGACTCGTTGTACCGAAACTGACCCCTCATTTTGCCGACTCAAATAAAAATCCGAAAAATGCTGTTCGGATGGAATCGGTGTCGACGTCCACATAGGTTTCAGAATAATAAGAGCGGAGAAGGGGGGTGTTTTGGGTAACGTGGACGGGTCGGCCTTTGGGATCAACGCGCCCAGCCGCCCAATCTGACCTCCACGTGGGATTCCATGTATCGACAACTCACCCATCGACTTCCGAGTTTGGTTCGCCATCTGCGTCGCTCCGGGCTGGACTTTGGAGCGCGTCGCCGTCGGACGCAGCCGCCGCGAGCGGATCAGCCATCAACGTGCCCCCTCTCGAGGCGGCGCGTCAACCCAGCTGGCGTCACTCGCACCGTTCACTCCCGTTTGACCGACCAATCGATCGGCTTAGCACGTCAAACTTGGGTTCCAGATAAACCTATTTGCCACCAGTGTTGGAGATATTTAACATGAGGGAAACATGTTGCGCCCTCAGCGAAATTTCCATTTTGTATTGTTCGTTCATGAATCTGCAAGCGATCAGGGACATGAATTTTCGTGAACCTGCCGGCAACAGTTGATGGATCGTTTGTATATATCTCCTGCTCGCAGGGTCCGTGCTGGTGCATGAACTTTCGAAAGGTAAGCGATAAGATTTGTCCTTGTATCGATGGTGCTTCCTTCACATGCCAAGTCATCCGCAATTTGTTGTCTTCTCTCTTTAAGTTCCCTTGGGCAGGGGGATGTTCTTGCAAACCCGCGGCAGCAGCACCATGTAATTCGATGCCAGATTTCCATTGTTTCCCATCGTCCCAGCTGATGTGGTAACATGCTTCTCCATGAATCGTACTGTTCTTATTTGTTTTGTTATTTAAGATTAGCTTATTACCTTCTTTTCTAATCCGTAGATACATTCTTTAACCGCTAATTGTTGTCATGGATTCATGTCACAGCAATTGCGACGAGCACTGGCTCATTAATCTTGTAGTTTATAGAATGTGTTACTGTTTCTTATATGTATATGTTTTCCAAGTACCAATAACGTTGAAGTAAGTACGTACATTGATGGGAGTGTTGAGAACCTTAAATTATTATCCTGTTTTGCTTTTTCGATCTTCAACAAAACCTACCTATCAAAAGATAAAAATTCACTAGTAGGATATCATAAAATATTTTTTGTTGCACCCAATGTATTTTGCATAGACTTTACATAGATGTAGCATATATAGTATATCTGATGGCGTTTGTTCAATATAAAGTAAATTTTCCATTAAACTTCTGTAGAGATTGCAACTCTATTTTAGATTTTGCTTCACTATCGTTCATTCATATCTACACCTATTTTAGATTTTGTAGATGATTGCAACTCTCCATGTTAAACTTTTGGATGCAAATCATTTATATCTTTTTTGACAAATAAAATTCTACTTTCAACTTATTTCACTTCAATATCGACAAAATTCTATTATATCACTTCAATAAAATTCTACTTTCAACTTGTAAATTCTATTAGTTTCACAAAAGATTCTAAAATTTCTAGAAAGAAATTTGTCCCTCGATCAATACACAGCATTTTAATTTTGTAATCGGTATTTGTCTCCACCATTTTTTTATTTAAAAAAATAATAATTTTTTTTGTTTTTACACAAACCGTAAAACAATAGTTTTCATTAAGAGAAAGAGTTTTGTGTTGGCCCATAAATTTCTGTATGCACCAAACTTAATGGTTCTTTTGCTTAATAATTACTATGTTTTGGAAAAGAATCTCTATGCTATTTTTCTCTTACATAACTTTCACAAACAGTCATTATTTTGAATTAAGATACTTTATATACCCTATTTTTATTTTATAGTAGATCAAGACCTTTGAAACATGAATGTTCATATCTATAATATTATAGCCAATTTTCATTAAAAAAAAAAAAGAGATTCTTGAAGTACTCAAAATTACTACTGTAATCATTATCCACATGTCAAACACTTTTAGATGAATCATTAATAGACTAACATGTAAAATAGTAAGTTTTCCTTTTTTTTTTTTTTTTCCTCCTCCCACAAAAATAGTTTGTTGATGCTACCATTTTAAATACTAAAATCTTTCAGTGTCATAATACTTGTAACAATATTACTAAATATGTTTTTAAAAAAAGTTTGATTATTACCTTTAGTGTTTCTATGATTATGATTATCAGATTCCTAATTGCTTTGATCATAACCTCATCTTTGGCCGAAATTTTGTTTGCTTGGTTTTTTTGCAACACTACTTATTTTTCATTATCCTTAGAAATATTTAATTTATAGACATTATCAATATTGCAAGTTCTATTCAATCTATCTATGTGATTGTAATGAACCAAACAATTCACTAACCTGTAATTCAGATAGATCCATTAATTCTTGAACAACAGTAAATACTTATTCATATTTATTTGAGAGGCTTCTTAAAAAAATTTCAACAACTTTTTGATCAGAAATTAATTCACCATATTATCTCGTCTGATTAATTATTTCTGTAACTCTTGAAAAAAAAAAGCTTTCATTGTTTCGCTTTCATTCATAAATAAATTTTTAAAATTTCTTCGAGGAGTTTGAAACTTAACCATTAATATCTTAATGATGTTACAGTACTCTTACTCCAAGATCTCTCAAATCTTGTTAGAATTTATTATAACAAGATTTGGGAGATCTTGGAGTAAGAGTACCTCCTCGAAGAAATTTTAAAAATTTATTTATAAATAAAAGCGAAACAATGAAGGAAATATAATCTCATCAACTACCCGTTGAAGGAAATAGAGGACAAGTCTCGTTAGAATTTATTATATTAAAATATTCAAAGAAATATAATCTCATCAACTATCTATTGAAGAGAATAGAGGACAAGTCTTGTTAGAATTTATTATAGTAAAAGATTCAGAAAAATATAATCTCATCAACTAACTACCCATTGAAGGTAATAGAGGACAAGTCTCATTAGAATTTATTATAGCAAAATATTCAAAGAAATATAATCTCATCAACTACCCATGAATGGAATAGAGGACAAGTCTAGTTAGAATTTATTATAGCAAAAGATTCAGAGAAATATAATATCATCAACTACCCGGGAATATAGGACAAGTAGATCTTTTCTTTGATTTTCTCTAGTAGTTCTAGCTATATTATAACATTTTTCAAAGGTCTCTCATAAATCTTATCATTATCAAATAATTATCTCCTTTGAAAATTGGATCTATTAATGACAAAGATTCCATGGTGTACTACTTCTTGGCAACAAAGAAAAAAAAAAAGACTTAGATATCACTTTGTTGAGAATGAGATAAAAACAAAGCACCAATAAAAAAATCAAAATAATTTAAAACATAAAATACTTCTTTAAAGAAACCTAATTACAATCCCTCTACCGGTATTATGCAACCCCTCTCCTTCTGCACATTTGATGTGACTTAGTGTTCTCAGAGACGAATAGTTTGAATATATCAGGATCTATCTAAATCTTAGAGTTTAAAAAATAAGATCACACACTTAACTTTTATAGTCTAGAAACATAGTGTTTTAATATATTAGGATTTATCTAAATTAGACAGCATAGACCAATAAACTATTGTCTAAAGAGCCCCAAATTAATTAAATCATTAGCAGCACAAGGGGGATTCGCAAGCTGACGAGAAGTTTCAGTGGCAAGTAGCAGTCAATCTTCAATAGCAAAACTCTCATTCAAGACAGACACCTGATGTGGCCTCAAACCTGAACATGTACTCGAACTGATCGGTCATTGCCACCATAAGTTTAGCTGAAATCCTTGGTCTTCAAAATATCAAGAGAATTCACCAAGAGATTGTTAGAGTTGTTGGGACTCTGAGAATTACAAGGTGAAGTAATTATGAGTGATGGAATTGCCTGGAGGAAGCATGCCATGGCTAATTCCTTTTGTGGACCAAGCTGCTCAAAGCTTTTAGGAGTCACGGCCGGCAGTGGCATTGCAATCGAAGCTACGGCCATGATGTTAATGCATGTGCTGCTGCTTCTGAACTCGTGTCAGTGCTACATACGGAGATGATACTTTCGACGGTCAGCTCGAAAGGTTGGAGTTCCATTCCCTTGTATGCTTCCTAACTTCTTCCATGGTATGTAAATTTGCATCACTGAAGCCATAAACAATTGTACGTCATGCAAATGGAAGCACAGCTGTGGCATCCTTGTTCCTGTCACAATCTTTTTCTTTCGGCCTCAGAGCCAGCCATCATGATCATCAAACAGTCTCCATGTCTTGCTTAAGAAATGGTCGTCAGATTGGAGAAGCAGATGAGAGATAGAACAGAAGGATCAAATATTTCAGTGAGGGCACAGTGTCGGGATAAGTAACTCTTACATTACAGAGAAGGCTACGAGTCAATTCTGTACTAATTATAGCTCCATAACTGTCCTTTAAATGTAGTTTTGTTTAGGTCGTATTTGGCGAGAAGTTGTTGTCTTATGTGTTGCTTACTGGAAAATACCTTCTGCCGCACTCTCTGCCCCGATCTGAGCTTTATTCATTTCGCTCGGAAGTAAAAGCGTCAGGTTCGAGTTCTTTCTCGAGTTGGTGTGGACTGAGATAGTTTGCGACGATAGACTCTGATGCCACCAATTCTGAGACCATCAGATGTAACTCGTCTTGTAAATGTTTCAGCATGCAGATGCGAGAAATTGAAATGTTTTTCTTCCTTTTTGTGCAAGTGAGTGAATGGGAGAGTTTACATTCCAAGTGCGGTTGACGCAGCAGGTTTGCAGCAGACTCTCATGCAGCCCAAGAAAAGCCAACCATTCCTTTTGCTTCGTTCGGTTCCACTAATCCCAAGCCTAGTGAACATATTAGCCGCAGATGGTCGATGTTGACGCAGCAGGTTTGCCGTCAAACGCCAAGGATGGAGCGTCTCCCTCTCCTGCAGCGCATCGCCGAGCACCCATCGCATGACAGCCAACATTGAACCGTCCACCTTTCAGCGGGCCCCTCCCGACCAACACAGATCTTCCCTCGTGAATTCTTTGATCCGACGGACAACAACCGCTGCTCTGCCCCCACGATCATTCCCTCGCCCACGCTCACATCGCACGCAAAGCTCCCTCCTCCTCTTCTCTTTTACTCCCAAAATGTTATCCGTACGTCTTCTCGTCACCCGGTCACTTGCAAGTTTTGGAACTGGCGGAGGAAGGCATGAGGGGTCCAAAGGGCCCTGTACCTGTCTCCAGTCACAAGGACGGTACGCGAAGGGTCAAATGCAGATATATTGTTCTGTTCTTTTTCCTCCTCCCTCCTTTTCGTTTTAAATACTCCGAACCGAAAGAGCTCAGTCACTTCTCCGCCAAGGCTGAGGGAGAAGGCGTAATTATCGCCCACCGGCTCACGGCCAACGCGTGATCCGGATCCGACCGCTCTGATGGCGCCGTGATCTCCTTTAAGTGTGTCTTGTGTTGTAGCCTTCTCTGTCACCCTGCTTTAAAATGGTTCCGAAAGGCATCGGATCGACCGCGGAGGAGGAGATGGAAGCAGGCGGGGAAGAGTCGTACGAGGTGGTGGAGCAAATCGGGAGAGGGGCTTTCGGCTCCGCCTTCCTCGTGGTCCACAAGACCGAGCGAAAGAGGTTGAGCCGTCCCGCCGCCCTCTGTTGTGGCTTCCTGTAGGCGTCGGATCGGCGGTTGATATGGTCGTTGGTGGCTGCAGGTACGTGATGAAGAGGATCCGATTGGCGAAGCAGACGGAGAAGTTCCAGCGCACCGCTTACCAGGAGGTAATTGGTTCCGGTTATGTCGAGATTCGTGTTCCGGTGGTCGATGACATTTGCACCGATTGATACAGATGGCTCTGATCGCGAGTTTGAGCAACCCTTACATCGTAGAGTACAGAGATGGGTGGGTGGAGAAGGTATGCTTGTAATATATCTTCTTATTTCTTTTTTCCGCTTAGGAACCTCAAAGAAAAGAAGAAAAATAATGAGAATCTTTTTTGTTCGATAAATCTCTGCTATAGCAATATCATTGCAGTGAGTTCAGGGGGCTTAATATTTCACCGGAGTAGGTGGATAACCTGTTGGTGTCCTCTTACCCTTGCCGAATAATCGTTCTACGATTCCACCGGTCAAATGAGATACGAGAACAGTTGCAAGATAACTAGGATGAAGGTTCTGAATTGAAATCTTAGGAATGCTAGTGAAAGTATTGAAGGCTTCTTCGTTGCCTTGCTTCTTGCTTTACCTCCTCTGTAAAAGTAGCTTTATCTTCCGCCAATTGTACCACCACCACTCTGATCGCAATCACTCACCTATGACTTTGGTTTCTCTTTGCAGGGAAGCTCCGTATGCATTGTGACCGGTTACTGCGAAGGAGGAGACATGTACGTGGCTCATCTCAAGTAGTATATCCTTTGTTCTTCCCTATTCTGATCTCCGTTAAAACAGGGCTGACAGAATAAAGAAAGCCAGAGGAATCTTATTCTCCGAAGAAGTGAGTCTGAACCATCTAAAGAAAGTTCATACGTTCTCCACCTGGTTGTCACTTGAACAATTTGATATGCAGAGGGTTAGCAAATGGCTGACGCAGTTGCTTTTGGCTGTGGATTACCTCCATTCCAACCGTGTGCTCCATCGTGATCTCAAGGTACGACTGGGAATTCCACCTCGAACCGAGGTTACTGTATCATGGATGGATCATCTTATCATTTAGCAGATGTAGAACTCCTGCAAAACCCTGCCTTCGATGATGTACAACTTCTGTTTCTCTCTGATCCATTTACCTTTGGTTTCAGTGCTCTAACGTGTTTCTCACAAGGGACGACGACGTTCGACTTGGTAAGACGCTCGCTATTGTATTATTGCAAGAAATGGAAGTTCTGGCAACCATATATAAGAGTCTGTTCTACTTTATGTACGCTTAACTTACTTTGAAGCATCCTATCAAGCGTAAAGCTCCTAATCAGAATATATTACGGTACAAAAGAAATTAACTGTTTTAATAGTTTATAAAGCCTTTTGTGTGGTTTTCATCTCACATTTCACCAGTATATTATTTATCATACATGTTGACCAGCACATAAAAAGTATTTATTATTCCTGGACGTACTTGTGATCTTGTTTTCATGACTGCAGGTGACTTTGGACTCGCAAAATTGCTTAATGCACAAGATCTTGCTTCTTCGGTATGGCTCTTCGTTTCCCTCCTATAAGGTTCGATAAGTACATAGAGATAGATAGACAATGGTGCTGGTAAAAAGATTGAATGTTCCCAAAAATTCAATTGGAGGAGAGAGCCAATTGGAAGAGTTTGCGATCGAAACTTGCATACTGCTATAACAATTTATGCGCTTCTGTTAATTATTTCTCTTGATCGAATCGTCTGTACATATCTATCTATAGGTTGTGGGCACTCCGAGCTACATGTGCCCTGAGATACTAGCTGACATACCCTACGGATACAAATCGGATATTTGGTCACTCGGTGAGACTTTGCATTAGAATTTCCAGATTTTGGTGTCGATTTCCTTATCGAAATCAACAGTATAATCTAATACTCCTTTCCAGGTTGTTGCATGTTTGAGATAGCAGCACATCGTCCGGCCTTCAGAGCTCCCGTGAGTACCTCGTCCCTGTGCTTCGGTTCTACGGTTGTGTGCTCAGAATCCATCTAATAATCGATTGTTCTATTCCAAAGACACTTTTCTGCTTTGATCAATCATCATGAAGTTCCTCGAACAGGATATGCAAGGATTGATTAATAAAATCAATAGGTCATCCATCGCCCCGATGCCTGCCATATACTCTTCTTCACTGTAAGTTCTGCTTCCAAGTTTCTAGATGTGGTGTTATGATTTCTGAACGACGCTGGTGTTAATGCTCGCAATGGTGTATGTTCCTAATTGTTTCAGTGAATGACAGGAAGAGGTTGATCAAATGCATGCTCAGAAAGAATCCAGAACATAGACCTACGGTACATTACGGCATCCAACTTCGTGTACGTGAGCAGTTGATTTGATGATAGCACGCGGGCTGACACATTCGCTTCCCTTTGCTTAGGCTGCAGAATTGCTGAGAGACCCCCATTTGCAGCAGTATCTTGCTGCATCGTGGAATCCTTCTCCTCTGTACCTTCCCATAAAGTCAAACAACAACGGTGCACAAGAGAAACACGGAAGAAGGCGAAGCTACAGGGAGTTGCATGGTGAAAAAGTCGACCATGGGTGCACTGAGGCAGGAGAAGTTGCACCGACGGAACAATTGGTAAGACAGATCAATGCGGGCCCATCAAACGATATCCTGGCCTTGGACCTGAGTCATGACGAGATCAAGAGAATCGATCCTGGTAGCTCGAAGATTTCACTAAGCCGCATTGCCGCAGTCCACGTCGCAGATGAGCGAGAGAAGCTAAGCGAACAAAACCTCGTTAAGATGGCTGCCGCGGCTGATACGCTTATAAAGAACGAAGAACCCGAGTTAGAAATGGAGGCCGCTGAGCCATTCGTGGGATCAAAAGCGATGAAGTCTAATACTGAGTCCGTACACCGCGAACCATCAGCGAGCAGCAGCAACAAGGAGGAGGGGCCAAAGAGAGCTGTCAGCATTCCTCTCTCTCAAAGAGCCAAAACCGATGCCGACGACGTGGTCGGCGTTGCCGAAGAAACCTCATCGGTCAGCACCATCACGCTGCCCCATGCGGATAACGCACAGGCGGAGTGGGAGAGCTTGAATACAATTCAGCAGAGAGCTAATGCTCTGGAGTCTCTGCTTGAGCTATGTGCGCAGCTGCTACAACAGGAGAGGCTAGAGGAGCTGGCTGGTGTGCTCAGACCGTTTGGGGAAGAAGCAGTGTCATCCAGAGAGACAGCAATCTGGTTGACCAAGAGCCTCATGTCGGTGCCCAAACTTGGATCGGATCCCAGAATCCATTAGCGCCGCTACTTATGCTTGGATGATCGCCCAGCTGCTGAGCTTTTTCGGAGGAATCAATAAGATTCTTTTTATTTACTTTCCACGTTCCATGTAATGATTTTTTGAATCTGTGTGATGTTAACTGGAATTATAAGTCTGACCTATTAATAAAAGGATTCAAACTATAAAACAATTTAGTTCTTCTACCTTCGCAGTGAGTGTCGTATGTCTCTCGATCGGCGAGTCACAGACGCACACCATAAGAAATTGAATTATAGATGAGCACAGATTCTTAATTGTATTAGTTAATCCATCGACACAAACCCCCACCACACAAGTCAATGAACCATTATGGTCTTTGTTTGAAGGAATTCATTCACCAATCACATTCACACAAACGCCACCGTTTCCATCCTCTTAATTAACATTTAACGACGGAACCCGAAGTAGGAGAAGAACATGGAAAGAGGAAATAAGGAAAGAATAATGATAAGAGAGATGTCAACGACACGAGTCTGCCGCTTCTGTCTTTCTTTCCTACTCCTCGTGAGGCGCCTACTGCAAGTACAAGGCAAAGAAGGAGAGGACGGAGGCCCCGATCACGGACCCAACAACGGGGTTGACGGCGAAGGAGGCACTGGCAGGGCCGGGCGCAGGGGCCTCAGCTGCCAGTGCGGAGGTGGCCGAGGCGGCGGCCACGAGGACAGCACAGGCAATCTTTCTCATTTCCATTGCTGACGGCGGGCCGCGAGAGAACTCGACCTGAGACCTCCTGAGCTACGGAAGCGAGAGAGAGAGAGAGAGAACGTGTGATGGAGGTCCGAGGAGGAAAGGGAGGGGATGGAGGGGGTTTTATGGGATGCTTTGGTGGTCGGAATGCTTTCTTAAGGTGCATATTTTTAGGAATGAGGGAAGGTCTACGTGCTTGCATGCGCATGGTATGTGGAGAGGTCATTGACCGGATTCTTAGTTAGACAACCAGAAATAGCGGGCCTAAATTTAAAACGAAAGATTATGTGATTCCATTTAGTTAAATAAGATATATTATAGATATGATTAGATTTTAATTATAATTATAGATCGATCAATAAAAAAAATTAATTATGATTAGATTTTTTAGGAGATAATCTTGATGAAAAAAACTATCATAATTACTATCTTAGATCACTTACTCTCACTTATAAACAAATAAAACATCCTAAGAACTGTATATATCTAATGTGTAGATATACAAATATATGGATACACATATAAGAGGAGACGAGGATATGAGACATTATTGAGAGATTATAGATATTCTCTCATTTCCCTTTTATCTCAAATCTATTGCTCATAATAGTTCTGTGAGTGATAAGAATAGAGAAAAAGGCGAGTCTAGTTCTTTTTGTAGATCGATATTGCTATATCTTTCGGATTGGATGATGGTGCACCTGATGATCAAATAAAAGTCTTTTGAATGACATCGAAAGGTATTCATCATAAATTTAAATATATTATAATTTGATTTTAGATTTTAGCATTAAAGTTTTTCGCTTAATAAAAATATAAGGATATTTTTTTATTCTCACAAATGATATCAGAGTTATGTTTGTGAAATCAAATATTTTAGATTTATTTATTAGCACTTTTCACTTGTGAAAATGTGTTACTCAGCTTTTATTTTAGATGCGTGAACGATTCGTTTATATTGCTGATCTGATTTTCTATATAGTTGTCATATCACCTGCTTACAGGCGAGACGAGGTTTATCATGCTTGATCGATGGACTACCATCAATAGCTTTTCTATTGACAACATTATTATTAAGGGTGGCAATCTTTGGTGGTTGTCAGCCAAATTGTGGGCTATGATTGCATATCCAATGCAAGCAATGTGGGGTGCGATAACCCTACGATGACTATAGTAGTATCGTTGGTACTTGCAATGGTTGCATTAGTTGCAGCAATGTTACTATGGTGGAATTTGTTGGTCGAGACTAGCATCATTGGATGCCAAAGGCCAACGAGGTTGTTGGGAGGCATGCGTGTGCATAGCTGCGCTGCAACGATCATGGGGGTTGTCAGGCGATGCGTGTGCACAATTGAGCATGGGCGAGGAGACCGCAAGTAGGTGACGACTTCGCATAATGGCGATGCTCGCACCTTATGCAACCATCGCAAACGATGGCTACGATGCCTTATGTAGGCGATGGTTGCACATAGCGACAATCACGCCTCATGCAACGACCATTGAAAGGGAGTGACAATTTAAGTTTTTAATAAAAGGATAATTTTACCCCTCATAAATCAAATAATTTCAATCTATGTCCCTAAGTTTACTTTCCAATTATGCTCTTAAATTCTATTATATATCCTAAGTAAAAAATTATAGTTTTACCTTTCAAAAATTAAAAATTTCTAAATTATATCCTTAATTATAAAATTAATTAATTTAGTTTATTTTAATCAAATATTTTTAATCAGGCTTAATCATGATTTTATTTTAACTGTTTAACTAGATTTATATTCAATCAATCAAATATTGATCGAATTCATAAAAAAGTCAAATTTTGATTGATTTTAATTTTGATAGGCCTAATTAGCTGAATGGTAAGTCTAAATCTATGGACTCAATTGGGATATCTTAATTTTAACTCTTCTCAATTAAATAGGGTTGATAAGTCTAAGAGTTCTATGCATAATTATAAAAAATATATAAATTATAACTTTTTTGACGATTTTCTCATTAACAAATTGATAAAATTTCACATGTGCCAAATAAAAATCTAATTGTTGTTTTTTGATATTTATTTAGTTATTCACATGTATATATTTAAAATTAAACAAATACTTATTTTTTACATAAATACATGATTTATGTTTCATTATAATTATATGTATCATATGTGTTTTTATTTATGCTTATTAATATTCAATAGATAATAATAATAATAATAATAATAATAATAATAAAAATAAAACTATTTTGGTATAAATTATATTGAAGAATTTGATGAATTTTATTTGTAGCTTATATCTCAAAATTTTATCTGATTAGTAGCTACCAAAGTAGTTTGGGAAGATAAACTTATAAAATATGAATTAAATAAATATTTTCTTATTTTAATACATTTTAAATTATTTTAAATTATTGTATTAGCTTTGTAGTCTCCAAAGTGGTCTATACTAATAATAGCTTATAAGATTACATTAGGAATTAATCCTAAATAATATTAATAAAAATAATATTCATGATTATATACACAAGTATAAAATTTAGATAATCCCAATAGAGATCTACTTCAAATAATTATGTAATAGGATAGAATGATACAGTAACAATACTATTCCATAAGGATGGTATCAATCCTGCATAAATATTTTTTTGTGAATATTATATATATCAATATTTTACTTGAAGGTGAAATAAAGATAATATTGATAGTTTAATATTTATTAAAAAACTCAAAATATTAATATTATATTATAGTGATACTTTTATCATTGCATTTTGATAAATGTTCTTATATTTTTTGGATTAAATTATTATAAATACTTGAGTATATGTAATTTATAATATGTGTGTTTGATATTGATCAGATTAGTCTAGAGGATCATAAACTTAACTACTAAAAATTTTATGGAATAAATAATTAAGATAAATGATCAGGAAAGATTTAAAAGACTAGGTTTTATGATAATTGTTAATAATATTTAGATTTTATTAAACATCAATTTAAATTTACTAACAAGTCAATATATTAATGACAGAACTGATTGAAATTTAATATGATAATATTTGAGAAATTCAAGATTATATCTTTAATATAGCTGACAAAGTTTTAAGCTTAACAATATTGAGTATGAATGTAGTTGAGTCATTTCTCGTATAATTTATTCTTAATTTTGTTTCTTCTTAGTTTGGTTTATTTAAAATTTATTATAATAAAATTAAGGATAAATAAAATTTAAATAAGTCAACTAGTATATATGTTTGGAAAGAAATTAATATTAAAGTGTGAAAGACTTATAATATTTTGAGTACTATTTAAGGAGTAGATAACAATAAAAGAAAGATAAAACATAAATCACTTAAGTTTATAAATAATATATAAATTTATAAAAAAAAATTTACAATAGAGTGCTACTATAACATAAAAGGTCAAGAACTATAATGTTTGGTTTGAAAGGAAAAGATATAACTTTGACTTTGTATATTTCGAATCAAACCTTATAAAAATTCTTTTCTAATACTATGTGGATTGATTCTGATATTTTAATATATGTTACCAATAATAAAGATTTGATATATCATAAAAACCAAAAGAGAATGAAATATTCAGAATCATCATAATGTGAAAGAGATAGTAGTTAGTACTTATCGCTTACGCTTGGAGATTATTCAGTTGATAGATCTTGAGGATGTATGTTATGTCCCTACAATTCTAAAAGTATAGGTTCATCGTCTGGAATTGTCAAAATATTATTTTTCTTTTGGTGCTTGCAAACTCAATGTATTTACTGTTTAATAAAAGTTAATTTTTAAATTATGTATATACATTATACATAATTAATATGCATCTTGAGTTTACAATAATCCTATAATCATATATCATAATGAAATATAATTTCATGAACTCTTGAGATTATATAAGTTTATATTTGTAGGTCACTCCATATTTAATGTTTTAGTGAAGAGAGACAATTTATCACATTTATAGATAATCTGTTGAGATATGATCATATATATATCTAATTCATATAAGGTTTTAAGCTATTGATACCTTTACGTGTACATAAATTAAGTCAAGAGATAATTAGATAAAATAAAATAAAAATTATCAAATCTAATAAGAGTGATACATTTTATGATAGTTATGATAAACCCGATCATAATTCTTGCTGTTTTGTTAGATTTCTAGAATAACGAGATATTTATGTTAAGTATAATTTATCAGATATACTACAATAGAATAAGATTATTGAAATGTGAAATCATATTATTATAGATAAAGTTAGGAGCATGATGAGTTATTCTTCTATACTCAAATCAATATGAAAAGAAGTTCTAAAGACAATTATGTATATCTTAAACATGGTTCATAGTAAGTCAATTATATTAATTTTGTTGAGTTATGAACTAGTAGGAAACTCAACTTGAAATATTTACATATTTAGGATTATTCTATAGAGATAATGGTCTTCAATTCAAACAAAAAAAATTGATTTATGGACTATTTCTAGATATTTTATTGATTATCCAAGAAAATTCAAAGAGGTAAAGATTTTATTGCTCTAATCATAATATAAGGATAGTTGAATTTAGTAATATAGGATTCCTAAAAAATAATAAATCATAATATTGATATTATTATTGACTTGTAGAATAATTACAATCGATAGTTTTGAAAATATCTTAAAGGAAAAAGAAACTTGTAATTTTTATTAATTATATGATATATCTACATGAATTAAATTATGATATATGAATTAAAAGAATTTTTCATTATTTTTATAAGTTATGAAAAATAACGATTTTGAAAATTGATATGATGCAATAAAAGAAGAGTGTCTAAGATCTCGTCGGATTGCTCAATTATTATAAAAGAGTCTATTACATAAATATGACTCAATAGACAATATCAAATGATATAACGACTAGGCTTGTGGTCAAAATTTTTACTTATAAAGAATACATCGATCATAGTAATTTTTTTTTTAATTTTTTAAATAATTTTGTTAAAAAATTATCATGACAAAAATAACTCATTATGATTTTGAGTTATATCATATGGATGTAAAAATAAGTTTTCTAAATGAGAATATAGATTT